ATGAAGAGTGGTAAGAAAAAGATAATATTTTCTTTTTTTCCCCTTTTTTATTGAGTTTATTGGGATGACACTGGTTAATAAAATTATATAGGTTTCAAGTGTTCAATTTCTATACTACATCATCTGTTTATTATATTGTGTGTTCACCACACCACATCAAGTCTCCTTCCATTTATTCCACCTATACCCTCTTCTGCCCAATCCCATACCTTTCCCGCTGGTAATCACCATACTGTTGTCTGTGTCTATGAGTATATTTTTTTAATTGCTTAATCCTGTCACATTTTTCACCAAGCCCTGTAACTCCCCTCCCCTCTGACAACTGTTAGTCTGTTCTCTATGAGTCTGTTTCTATTTTGTTTATTAGTTTATTTTGTTCCTTAGATTCCACAAATGAGTGAAGTCATATGGTACTTGTCTTTCTCTGACTGGCTTATTTCACTTAGCATTTCACTCAAGGTCCATCCCTGCTATCCCAAAGGGTAAGATTTCCTTCTTTTTTATGGCCGAGTCGTATTCTATTGTATAAATGTACCACTGCTTTTTTATCCAGTTATCTACTGATGGGCACTTGGGATGTTTCCAGATCTTAGCTATAGTAAATAATGCTGCAATGAACATAGGGGTGCATATATTCTTTCAAATTTGTGTTTTGGGTTTCTTTGGATATATTCCCACAAGTGGAATTGCTGGTTTATAAGGTAGTTCCATTTTTAATTTTTGAGGTAACTTCATACTGCTTTCCACAGTAGCTGCACCAATCTGCATTCCCACCAACAGCACACAAGGATTCCCTTTTCTCCACATCCACACCAATACTTGTTGATTTATTGATAATAGCCATTCTGACAGGTAATATCTCATTGTGGCTTTAATTTGCATTTCTCTGATGATTAGTGATATTGAGCACATTTTCACATGTCTATTGGCCATGTGTATGTCCTCTTTGGAGAAATGACTATTCAGGTCCTTTGCCCGTTTTTTAATAGGATTGTTTGGTTTTTTGGTGTTGAGTTTTGTAAGTTCTTTATAAATTTTGGATATTAATCCCTTATCAGCTGTATCACTGGTTGTCTTTTCATTTTGTTGGTTTCCTTTGCCGTGAAGAAACGTTTTAGTTTGCTTTAGTCCCATTTGCTTATTTTTCTTTGTTGTTTCCCTTGCCTGAGGTGATATTTCAGAAAAATTATTGCTATGAGAAATGTCTGAGATTTTACTGCCTGTTTTCTTCTAGGATTTGTATTGTTTCAAGTCTTACATTTAATTCTTTAATCCATATTTTTATTCTTGTGTATGGTGTAAGAAGGTGGTCTAGTTTCATTTTTTTTGCATGTATCTATCCAATTTCCCCAACACCGTTTATTGAATAGGCTATCTTTATCCCACTCAGCGGTTCTCAACCTGTGGGTCTCGACCCCTTTGGCGGTCGAACGACCCTTTCACAGGGGTCACCTAAGACCATCCTGCATATCAGATATTTACATTATGATTCATAACAGTAGCAACATTACAGTTATGAAGTAGCAACGAAAATAATTTTATGGTTGGGTCACAACATTAGGAACTGTATTTAAAGGGCCAGAAGGTTGAAAACCACTGCAGATGTTTTTGCCTCCATTGTCAAATATTGACTATAAAGGCATCAGTTTATTTTTAGGCTCTCTATACTGGTCCATTGATCTATATGTCTGTTTTTATGCCAGCACCAGGCTATTTTGATTACTATGGTCTTATAATATAGTTGGATATCACGTAGTGTGATTTCTCCAACTTTGTTCTTTCTCGGGATTGCTGTGGCTATTTGGGTCTTTTGTGATTCCATATAAATTTTTAGAATAGTTTTAGTTCTGTAAAATACTCCATTGGTATCTTAATAGGAATTGCATTGAATATACAGATTGCTTTGGGTAGTATGGACATTTTAATGATGCTAATTCTGCCTATCCATGAACATGGTATATACTTTCACTTATTTGTATATTCTTCAATTTCTTTCTTCAATGTCTTATAATTCCTGAGTATAGGTCTTCTACATCCTTGGTTATATTTAGTCCTACTTATTTTTTTTTTTAAGCAATTGTGAATAGGACTATTTTCTGAGTTTCCCTTTCTGATAGTTCATTATTGGTATATAAAAATGTAACTGATTTCTGGATATTTATCCTGCTACTTTACTGAATTCATTTATCAGTTCTAGTAGTTTTTTTGGTGGAATATTTAGAATCCTCTATATACAGTATCATGTTATCTGCAAATAATAAGTTTTATGTCTTCCTTTTCAATTTGAATGCCTTTTATATCTTCTTCTTGTCTGACTGCTGCGGCTAGGACTTTGTTGAATGAATGGAAAAGCAGACATCCCTGTCTTGTTCCTGACAAGCTTAAGGGAAATGCTTGTAGTTTTTGCCCATTGAGTATGATATTGACTGTGGGTTTGTCATATATAGCCTTTATTACATTGAGGTATGTTCCCCTATTCCCATTTTGCTGAGTTTTTATCATAAATGGGTGGTGGATTTTATCAAATGCCTTTTCTGCATCTATTAATATAATCATGTGGTTTTTAACCATTTTTTTTTAATGTGGTGTATCAAATTTATTGATTTGTAGACATTGTACCAACCTTGCATCCCTGGAATAAAGCCCACTTGATCATGGTGTATGATCTTTTTAAAAATATATATATATTTTTTTTTATTGATTTTAGCGGGAGGAAGGGAGAGAGATTGAAACATTAATGATGAGAATCATTGATTGGCTTCCTCCTGCACACTCCCTACTGCGGATCAAGCCTGCAACCCGGGCATCTGCCCTTGACTGGAATCGAACCCGGGACCCTTCAGTCTGCAGGCCAATGCTCTATCCACTGAGCCAAACTGGATAGGGTGGTATATGATCTTTTTAATGTATTACTAGATATGGTTTGCTAATATGTTGTTGAGAATTTTAGCGTCTATGTTCATCAGGGATATTGGCCTATACTTTTCATTCTTTGTAGTGTCTTTATTTGGTTTTGGATTTATTTGGCCTCCTAAAATGAGTTTGGGAGTCTTCCCTCTTCTAGAATTTTTTAGAATAATTTTCGAAGGATAGGTGTTAATTCATCTCTGAATGTTTGATAAAATTCACCTGTTAAGCCATCCAGCCCAGGACTTTTGTTTATTGAGAGTTGTTTTATAATTGCTTCAATTTTACTAGCTGTAATAATCTTTTCAATAACCAGTACTAAACGGATAGCCAAATATGGGAGAAAAAATGAAACTTGAGCCCTAACCGGTTTGGCTCAGTGGATAGAGCATTGGCCTGCAGACTGAAGGGTCCCAGGTTCAATTCCAGTCAAGGGCATGTACCTTGGTTGCGGGCACATCCCCAGTAGGGAGTGTGCAGGAGGCAGCTGATCGATGTTTCTCTCTCATCACTGTTTCTAACTCTCTATCCCTCTCCCTTCCTCTCTGTAAAAAAATCAATAAAGTATATTTAAAAAAAAAAGAAACTTGACCTCTATCTTACATTATACACAAAAAACATTTTCAGGTAGACTGTAGATCTGTGTAATCCAAAACTATAAATAAATCTTTTAAAATATGGAAGAAATTTCTCATAAACTTATAGTAGGGAATGAATCCTTAAATAAGAAACAAAAAAATGTTAGCCAAGGAAAGATCTTAATTGGACTACATTAAAATTACAAACTTCCTTGCCCGGCCGGCATGGCTCAGTGGTAGGTTGAGCATCAACCCATAAACCAGGAGGTCATGATTCAATTACCAGGGCACATGCCCGGGTTGGGGGCTCAATCCCCAGTGGGGGGCGGGCGAGACAGGAGGCAACAGATCAGTGATTCTGTCTCATCATTGATGTTTCTATCTCTTTCTTCCTTTCCTCTCTAAAATAAAAAAAAACAATAAAATAGTTATTTTGGGTCTTGACTATTAGACTAGAGGAAATGGTAGGTAGCCTGTAGCTACAAAAGTCTAGAACTCAGGGGAGGTCAAGGCCAGAAATGATTTGTTTTTGAGTTACTGATGGATGGATGGATAGCAATCTTCAAGAACAAAATTTCTTCATATTTAAGAATTTACTGGCTCAATTCCTCGGAGCCATCTATCGGTTCAAATTTCTTCCTCCTATGGGTATACTGCAGTAGAACAATTTACTGGTACATATACACTAATATATGATAAATTTGGACAATAAAATTTCATATGTCCTTGACTTCAGACTAAGATGAGTGATTTTATAAATTACCAAGAAATAGGAATACAGGGTCTGAACCTAATACATTCAAGTTAATATAAAGTGTATTAGAATAAAGTCTTAGTAAATCTCATAGATAAAAGAATGAGGAATCAGATCTGTTTCTATTATAGCTTCCTTATTTCTGACTCCTTTTTTATTTCTTACCACCTGGAAGCTTAGTCACCAGTAAGTTCACAGAGTTAGTTATTTATTTTCAAAATAGAATTTATTTCTGTAATAAAGAATTAAAATATGGCTGTGAAAGTAGAGAATATAGAAAATATTTAAAATGTGCAACAGTAATTTTAAAGGTAGTTATGCACTAGAGTTTATGCTCAACTTCTACTTGAAAGACCAACCAGCATTTTATATTTATATTTTATTAACTATAATGGGAAAAACATACCAACTTGTAATTCCAATGAATAATTATAATTCAATAATGGGTTTAGATACCTGGCCAGGCCCTTCTGAAAATGAGTACCAATCTTGGGGATATATTTTTTGAAGATAACTTCACTTCACAGACTGATAAATCTACTGTTCAAAAGCCACAAGGATTTCCTTTTTTCACTAATTCATCCACTTAAATCAAGGTGGAAGCAATATGTACTTTTTAGATAAAACCATATGTGTTGGTAAAAATGAGACAAGAATATCATCTTTCATTATATTGGTATAAAAGCTGGTAAACTCATATATCCCCAAAGCTTGGTTTTCACCAGGTGGGTCTCAAATTCAGACACTAAACACAGATGGAAAAGTATCTAATGAATTCTATCTATCCCTTCCCCAAAGTCTTATTTACAATTAAAATATAGGTATCATTTTTATGCAGAAAATACAAAATAATTGGGAAATGGTTGACTAGGAGGAAGACAACTCTTCAGGGACTATTGTTTGCAGATTAGGGTAATCTTCTCTAGGAAGAATAATGTCAACATAGCAGCACTATATTCACCAGGAATCCCAAAGCCGGTGGCTCTATCAGGTGGCAGGAAGCCAAACCTTCTGGCTGCTCACAACATCACTCAGCTTGCCTTTAATCTTCAGGAAGTGTCTCTTGAATTCCAATCCATCACCCTATGTTAGGAATAATATAAAAAATAATGTCAAAAAAAATCAAAACCTCTGTGGTGGTATGCAGAGAAAAACATCTACAGATGCGCCCAGCTACCATTCCCCGTAGGTCCTCTGAGAAAGACCAATTATCTTGGGAGAAGAAATGGCTAAAATAAATAATTCTGACTTGATTTTAGGGCCCATCACTGTTCCCACAACACTGGACTCAGAGAGCAAATACAATGACAGCCTGTCTGTTTTAAGCGTTGATATCTCGGGCCCTAAGTCATTGTTTTCCATAGGTATTGGAAAAATGTAAACTAAAAATAAGCTACGCAACTATACTGAAGCCTTCTCAAAATACTGTGGCAACAAAGCCAGTGATTCAGTTATAAAAACAAACAAACAAACAAACAAACATTATCACACTAGGATCTTAATAATATAATTCCATACCAAGCATCTGGACAACAGTAATGCAGCAAATCTCCAATATAAAGAATATGACCTTCTCCTCCAACCTCCTTTAGAGCTCATACAATCTCTCAGGAAATAGAGAAGATGCTATTTTTGTTTTATATATACCAAAGGCTTTAAAACTATTTATAACCTCAGCTCTAATAATTTCTAAAGAAATAATCATAAATGTGAGTAAAACTCTATTACGCATAGAACTATTAACAGATAATGGTTCATTAATTACAATGTGCAAACATTTCTGACAAATCACAATTTTTATAGAAAAGCTATATAGGAATTCAATATATTTATAAATGCCATGTATAAATAAATATAACATCTTAAAATAATCTCCACATAAACTCTCCATACTATATACTATTAGTAGCAGTAGACTACTATAATGAAATATATCAAAATAAATCTGGACCTAGCTGATTTGGCTCAGTGGATAGAACGTCAGCCTACAGACTGAAGGGTCTCGGGTTCAATTTCAGTCAAGGACATGTACTTTGGTTTCAGGCTCGATCCCCAGCCCCAGTCAGGGCACATATGGGAGGCAACCAATCAATGTGTCCCTCACATCGATGTTTTTCTTTCTCTCTGTCTCCCCTCTCCCTTTCACTCTCTCTAAAAAAAAAAGAAATATTTTTTTAATTAGAGATCAGAGAAAATAATTTAGTAGGAATGCTAGAAAACAGTCAAAGGTCTACAGCAAACAAATGAACACCCAATCAAGAAAAAGCCTAAACATGGTAGGAAGTTTCATGATGTTTTTACTCATCCTTGCCCCACCCCTTTTTCTAGAGAAGATGGCAGTGGTCCAACTGCCAATACACTGCCCCCAACCCAATGGAGCAGACCCTGTTTGCAACGTGCTAATCTGTGTGGGGGCTGCCTAAGGACCACCCTGTTTTAATCAACTCCGGAGCTCAGGTAGGGAAAAGCAGAACAGCTCCGAGAAATGTGTATTCTCCCTGGATGATAAGATTAAACTTGATTCTGAGTTCCTTCTTTCAACTTTTTTGTATTTTTTTTGAACTTTTTTTGTATTTTTTTAAATTTCTACAATGAATATGTAAAAATTCTCTTTAAGCAAAACAAAGTTTTTAAAAAAGATATGTGCTGTTCTATATACCTTAGAAAGCCGGAAGTCAACCAAGATCTTCTCATCCATTTCTACCAAATTCACTTTGAAAATCAGCTTATTGTTTCTTCTATCAGTTGTTGATACAGTAACCTAAGGCAATAAAAATAAGGTTAAGCCAGATGTGTGGGTGGGAAGCCAAAGGCAGTGGGATGACATATTCGAAGTGCTGAAAAAAAAAACTGTTGAGCTAGAATTCCATATCCAGGGAGACTATGCATAAAAAAAAAAAGTCCCAGTTAAAATATGAGTTTGGAAGTACCAGAATTGCCCCAAAAGAAATTCAATAGAAAGTCCTCTATAACTGTTGTTTAAAACACCCAGTCTGTGATATTTTGTTATGACAGCCCTTGCAAACACATATGTTCACACAAAAGCTTGTATAAGAATGATCACAACATTATTCAAAATAGCCTAAAAGTACAAACATCCCAAATGTCCATCAACAGATAAATGTATACACAAAGTGTAGTCTACCCATACAATGAAATATTATCAACGCATAAAAAGGAATATACTATATGTACTGCTAATACTACAGCATGGATTAACCTTGAGAACATTATGCTAAGTAAAAGCAGACACATAGGGCCATATATCATATGATTCCATTTATATGAAATGTCCAGAATAGGTAGTCCATAGATGGAAAGTAAATTAGTGGTTGGCAGGGAATGAAGAAAGAAAGAGTAAGAAGTGACTGCTAATAAAGAAGTACAACTTATTTTGGGGATGAGAAAATGTTCTGGAATTAAATGATGATGCAAGTTGTACAATCTTGTGAATATGCTGAAAATCACTTTAAAATAGTTAAAGCAATGATCTTCCTGTTATGTGAATTTTATCTCAATAAACCTACCTTTTAAAAAAAGAGCGAATTATTTATACAAGTGAGAGGACAATCAGGCTGGCTTCAGATTTCTGCACAGTGGTATTTTCTCCTAACTTCTAATTTTTAAAGCTCACATATCTGCAGAAAAACTGAAGGAACCGTATAATAAATAAAGCCATACCCTTCATTGGCCTTACCGACCTAGATAAGTATGTGATGTAGGGTTTTTTTATGTGGTTGGTTGTTTCTTTTTAAACTAAGTTATAAACAGCATAAACTTCACCATATTTCTCCTACAACCCAAGACATTCTCTGACAAATTACAATTTTATGATCATACCCAAGAAATCTGGCACTGATACAAAAACATTACCTAATATAAAACCCATATTCAAATTTCCCCAATTGATCCAATAACATCTGCTATAGCTTTTTTCCTTTAAATCCATGACCTAGTGATTGCATTATTTATCAGGCCCCTTTAGTCTCCTTTAATACTAGGAAATATTCCCCTATTGGTTTTTCAAAATACTAAGAGTTTTGAAAAGCCTAAAGATAATAGAATGTCAATGTTCCAAATATGCTATCCTATATAAGAATTTAAGTAAAATTTACTTAAATTCCAGCAACCGAACAGCAGAACGACTGCTCGACCAGTTGCTATGATGCGCAATGACCTCCAGGGGGCAGACACTCAACGCAGGAGCTACACCTGGTGGTCAGTGTGCTACCACAGTGGGAGCATCGCTTGGCTGACCAGGATGAGCAGCAGCTCCTGCTGTGAACCTGGAGCCAATGGGCAGGAACCCAGGCTGCGATCGTTGCCTCCTCACCCCAGGCTGCTGCTGCTGCTGCTCCTCCTCCTCCTCCTCCTCCTCCTTCTCCTCCTCGCTCCCTGCCACCTCTTCCAAATGCCCGCAAGCCACGCAGCGCTGCTGCTGGGCTCACAGACCTGACCCTGGAGGCTGGGAGGTAGGTTCATGGACACCAAGGGACTGAGGCCTACTCCGCCGCCTCTCAGTGCTATTGTCCCTGGGCCTGGCCCCGAATGGGTCCCCTGGAGAGGCGAGTGCTCTGGCTCCACGGAAGATGCTATACCAGAGAGCAGACCTCAGAGGGCGGGTCCATAGCTACTCTGCTGACCGGGATGAGCGGCAATCCCATAGTGGGCCAATCCCCACAGGCCATGCCCCCCACCAGTGCACAAATCCTATGCACCGGGCCTCTAGAAATGATATAAACAAAAACTGGTAGATGGGAGCAGAGGACATGGAGAAAGTATGGGATTGTTAATTTATTCATCTTTCATAGAAGGAAGTCGATTGTTACTTTTACAATTTAAGTATGGATCGATTTTGAGAAAATAATTACTTGAGTCTCAATGTTTTCAATAACTTAGAGAAGTCTTTAAAAAATATTTAAGTTAACATTTTACTTAAATTCCTTCAATTTCCATTGTTTCTTTTTCAAACTACTCTATTTATTTATATTTATTTTAAAAATATACTGATGATAGTATTTTAGTCAAATATTTAAATTTTTCTTCAGGAAAAGATATAATGAAGAATGAATGAAATATACCTGATTCATACAACTCTTCTTCCATTGATAGCCCAATTTCTCACAAGTCTCTTTTAGGCATTGGTAAGATTTGTCTGCATCCAATTTGGTAAAAAATCGTGTCATTCTTTTGACCAAGCGCTGCCAGGGGTTCTACATGCCAAATAAAGAAAAGCAGAATACATCTGTTATCACCAAAAGGAGGCATATAGCTATTTAGTCTTAACATTCTTTTTTCTGTGATTTAAGGTTCTTATACATAAAGGTCTCTTCTAATTATTTCTTCCTTGTCAGAAAAAAATCGATATAAAGTGTTAACACTTTAAGATTTATACATTTAAAAAAGAGACTTTAAGACAATAAAAAACACATGGTTTCCATTATTCACCTTACAAACTAAATTCTCTTACCTGTGAGGATCCCGGGGTGCCAAGTAACTGACTATTCAGAAGCATATGATCCGGACATGTGGGCTGGGAGAAACTGATCCCTTGTACCAGTTTATCAATGTATAACGGGCTGGTGTCCCACAAGGAAAGACCGGTCCGTGGTTCTGGCTGGGAACTGGAGTACTTCACATTTTCTTCACTAAGACATTAAGATATGGGGAAATATATAACTTTAAATAAAATCTATCAGGCTTTTTAGTATCACATTACAATTCTCACACCAATAAAAGTGATAATCACTATTAACATGAAATACATATAAATATTACTTTACATGGGGGTATCACCTTCAACAGGCACTTGATGTTGATTAATTAATCTTACCTGGAAGCACTGTTTACTAGAGAGATATCCAAATTGGATTGAATGTGTTTAGAGAATCCACCAGGAGACTCTGATACACCACCCGAAGTGACTCGGGGCCTCTTTGCTCCTAAAAAACAAAATAAAATAAAATAAAATAAAATAAATAAAATATAGAGAACAGACCTACAGCTGTCAGAGGGGAGGGAGGCTGTGGGGCTGGAAAATAAAAACAAGTGCTTTCAAAGTCTTCTATGCCGATACTTTTAAATTAATATAACTGGCAATCTGAAGAAGTGAAACTACATCTGAATTCACTTAACACCAAAATACTTATCCAACAAATAGTGGCTCCTTCTACACGATTTTATGAGAAATGTGGTCGTTTTGAACTGACTAGGCTTCACTTGTCAAATTATACAAATACTGATCAGTAAGTGTGTTCCACGTGTGGAGTACAAGGCCATAATTTTATTGGTACCCTTTATGGTAATAGAAAAAATGTTCTATGAGGGCAGAGAAACCTAGCTAAAGAATGAAAACTTTAAAAAAATAAAAAAAAACAATTTATGATCATGGCAATGAACATTATGAATTTGCTCTATCCAACATTCCTTGCTCCACTGGAGAAGCTGTAACAAGAACACTCGTTAAACAGAAAATGATGCCACTATCAATTCATGGTTACTATCCTCAGCTGGATCCTCAACTACAGTCCTGTGTTTTCTCTCAACAGTTTCCTCTCCCTTTCTCCACAATGATTATTTCAAAACGTCTGCACTCTTGTCAAATTCCTAATTTCACAGAATAAAAATACTTGTATTTTAAGGATACTACCTTTCTTGAGTAGTTTGTTGTACCATCTATCTTTTTTGATGTCTGGGATGGTAATCCTTACTGATGGATTCTCGACTAGGATTTTGTGCAGCAGAGCTGAAAACAAAGCATTAAGACAAACATTTACAAAAGAGTCATGCAGATTAGAAAAGCCTATAGCTTGTGGTATGGAACACATCTCTCTCTTGTTCTCCTTATGTCCAAATATCATTTCTGGGGAATAGAAAGAATAAATTATTAAAGCTACTAAATTATTGCTTTAATTTCATGCAGTTGTTCTTTGCTACTGTCTATATCTTAGAATAGTCTGCCCAGGTCTGATTTTCAATTATTTGCAGACAGTAGCATAACAACCACGTAGAACTGTTCCTCCCCAGCTGACAACATTAACAAAAAGATACAACTTATCCATTTTCAATACCAAACTTGTTCCAATGTCATGTTAAGTACTCATTCACACAGTTTTATTTTAAAAATTTACTTTCCAGCATCCTAATTACCTTGATAACAAATTCATATATCTCCAACCACAAAAATAATTTTCTAATGGACAAAAGGTTTAAATAAAAAAAAAAAACAGGTAATGGGGAATTTTTTTCTAACATTAGAATAGAAAAGACCTTTCCAAACATGACAATATCGCCAGGAACCACAAAGGACAAGATAATAGATTTAAATAAGTAAAAATACACAACTTATTGCATGTCAAAATAGCATAAATAAAATAAAAGCACATGACAAATTGTGAAAAGTATTTGTAATAAATGCAAAGATTGTAAGGTAGGAGAGGGTAAGTAAATGGTGATGGAAGGAGACTTAACTTGGGATGGTGAACACACAATACAATATACAGATGATGTATTACAGAATTGTATACCTAAAACCTATATAATTTTTATTAACCAATGTCGCTCCAATAAATTCAATAAAAAATAAATGCAAAGATCTAATGACATTAATACGTTTAAAAAACTAATAAATACATTGGAGATATACAATGTCATTGGTACTAAATTTAAAAAACAAAAAACACTGAATATATTTTTATAGGCCTATTAAAGTAAATATTTTTTAAGGTAAATTAATGACATTGTGATGAAATATATGAACTTTCTGAAAAACAACTTGGCAAAGTAAACTAGAATAATTAAAAACTACAAATGTCCTTCACCTTGCAATTCCACTTCTGGGGTTTTATTTTAATAAAATAAGTTAAAGGTATGTGCAAAGATTTAGTTATATGGATGATCATTATCTCTCTTTCATAACAGGAAGAAATTAGAAAAAAATCTAGATCTCTAAAAAAGTGAACCAGATGAGTATAATAAGGAATGTCCATATAGTAGAACACCTTCAGAGTCTTTATAAACAATGACGTAGGCCTAAAATTACAATCATAGGAGAAGTTCACAAAGCATTAACACACACAAAAAAGATTACAAAATATTGTGTGTATGTAGTATAATCTCATTTTTTGTAAAAACACACATAAATACACATATTTTGCAACAAAGTATAGAAGCATATATCAAAATATTAAAATAAGCTATTTCTCGCCCTAACTGGTTTGGCTCAGGGGATAGAGCGTCGGCCTGCAGACTGAAGGGTCCCAGGTTCAATTCCAGTCAAGGGCATGTACCTTGGTTGTGGGCACATCCCCAGTGGAGGGTGTGCAGGAGGCAGCTGATCGATGTTTCTCTCTCATCGATGTTTCTAACTCTCTATCCCTCTCCCTTCCTCTCTGTAAAAAATCAATAAAATATATTTAAAAAATAAAAAATAAAATAAGCTATTTCTCAGGGATTATAGGACTGGTTTTTAAAAATTGTTTATTGCCTGGCCAGCGTGGCTCAGTGGTTGAGTGTTGACCTATGAACCAGGTCAGGGAACCATGCCCAGGTTGCAACTCGATCCCTAGTGTAGGGCTTGCAGGAGGCAGTCGATCAATGATTCTCCCTCATCATTGATGTTTCTCTCTATCTCTCTGAAATCAATTTTTAAAAATTTTTATTATTTTTATATTTATTTACAAGGATTATAGATTACTTATATGATAACTTAAAAGTTAAAAAGAAAATGTAAGAAAAAATAATCAAACAGCACTACACTTCATTATCCAAGAAATCAGTACTTTCAATCAGTTACCTAGAGGAGCAGAATCGATTTTTTTCCAAGGGTTGAGGTATGTTTTTTTTTCTTTCCAATCAGCATATTCCTGACAACTGTCACTGGGCTGGTCCCATGGCAATTCTAAAAAAGAAACAAGTTTCCTGAGTGTTCATGTCATTATGCAGTAAAGATTCCAGGGAAAATAATTAACAATACAAATCCATTTCCTCCTAGTTAACTCAATATCGTTTTCAAACTAAGAATACCAGCTCACAAAAATTTCAGAAGCACTCACAAATAGATGAGCCGAACCACTTCCTGCCCTACTCTTTCCAAAAGTATTCACATGAATCTTAAAAGCGAGGGCTACTGTTGCATTTCGTTTAATAGTCTATACATACCTCATTTTTAAAAACCTTTGGGATTAAAAGTTCCAACTTAATTATAAATAATTTACTATTAAAATCCTGTCATATAAATATGGATGCCCTTGGTTTATTTCATTAATTTTGGAATAACAAATCTGTCTTTCCATAGGAGACAAGTTTTATCATGATTAAATAGCTCTTACCCCCAGCCAACATTGCAGTAAGTACTATTCCACAGGACCAAACATCAACTGGTTCTGCATGAAATTCTTTTCTCTTTAGAAGTTCTGGAGCAACATAAGGTAAAGTACCACACATCTTGTTCAATAAACGCTCACGGTTATTATGCCGAAACACTGTTGCCAGGCCGAAGTCAGAGATTTTGAGGTTATCTAAACCAAAGGAAAAAGAGATGGCACTGGATGAAAACGTTTTGTAAGTAGATATACTTAAATAAAGCTTTATTGGAAAATCACTGGTGTCACCCAAGGTTTGTAGAACTTCTCTGCCTTAAAACAAGGCAACAAAGTAATTTTTAAAAAGAAGAAATAAAAGACATCATCATCCAGCAAAAATCAGTGGAAGAACTCATTGCTTCTGCTCATTCAAGAGAAATATATTTTTTTAAAAAAGAGAAATATCGATACACAAACAGGTTAAAGAAAGAAAAGAACTCATCGCTTCTGCTCATTCAAGAAATAAAGAGAAATATCGATACACAAACAGGTTAAAGAAAGATACTGAAGTCAGAAGGGGCTGCCCTTCTGGAAAGGGTACTGGAGACTTGGGCTTAAAAGCAGAGCCTGGCCCTTTATTGGGTTGTGCAGCAGGCAGGAGGAGACATCAATAATGTATTAGGTACAACTTTCCCAGCAGCAGGCAAAGCCTGTCGGCTGGTAGAAAATTTCCATGTAAAGACACACCAAAACTAAAGATCCACAAACCACCAGAACTTCTGGTCAAAGTGGCTACGTTTAGAAAAGGGGGAGGAACTCTAAAAACAAACAAACCAGAAAAGCAAATTTCTACTCTAACTTCCCATCTTCCACACATATAAACTGCAGGTAAAACTCAATTTAACTTATACTTGGTGAATGCCTACTGTAACAAAATGACACTGTGCTAGCCAATGTAGTTAGATAAATTACTGGAGAAGGCTAACAACAGACAACTGTTGCAAAGGTTATGAGAATATAGGACATTACAAAATCTTATAGCAAAAGGAATCAAATCTAGTCGTAGGAATTAGGGAAGATTCCCTATTTTCAACCTTTATAGAGGACAATCTGGCAAAAGATGTTAAAATCTGAAATATTCACATACTCTTTGAACTAGTAATTTCTATTTCTAGGACTATATCCACAGAAATACTCCCTCAAACACACAAACTTAAGGATATTCATTTTATTTGTAAATAACTTAAATGTCCATCAATAAAGAAATGACTAAATCTTATAATACACGTACACAACAAAACTATATAAGTAATTGTTTTTAAATAAAGGTATAGCTATATGTACTGACACAGAATTGGGTATAAGTAAAAAAAAAAAAAAAAAAAAAAAAAAAAGGCAAGTGTCATAAAAAATATTCATTATACGACCCAATTTTTATATTGGGTTTGTGCACAAATTTATAGAACAGTCATCACTGTTTTATTTGTTTTAAAAGCTACAAAAACAACTGTCCCAAAATAGGGGAATAATTCTTTAAAAATCAATGACATCTACAACATAGCATGTAAGCCATTGATGATGTTTACCTGTATTTGAGTTGGAAGGTAGCTAGTGTAATTACCTGTTAATATCTAAATAAACCAATGACATTGAGTCCCAAGTTACTTGTAAGTAGTAATCACTGAAAATACTAATGGATGACCTCTGTATATCCTTGGATTTTGTTTTGTTATTCCCTGAAATTTCAATAATGCAAAAGCCTTCAAACAGCCTTGTATGGCTGGTATTAAAATAATTTAGGTAGCAATCACAAAATGCTAAACTTACCCCTTTCATCCAATAGGAGATTTTCTGGCTTAATATCCCTGTGAGTTATTCCAATATCATGCAGATAAGTCTAAGAAAGCAGAGGGAAGAATATTAGAGTTTAGTAACTTACTTCACTCACACTAATTTTAAGTAAAGTTAGAGTCAACTGTACCTACCACCCCTGCCATGAGTTGATGGAAGAACCTCTGAGCATCTTGTTCAGGCATGCCTATGTCTGGCTCTATAAGAATTCATGATGAAAGTTAGTTTACCAGGTAAATGTAATCAGGAATCAACCACATAACCTCTTAATGCTAAGGTTAAACATTTGTGATTGTACTTTAGCAAACAGAATCCTATGCTAACAATCAAAAAGACTCTGGAGTCCACTAACATATATAATAACAACCTTGAAAGTCCCCGCTTATCTTATATTAACCATTATTTATTTGGTCTTTCAAATTCTCCCCTAATTTCATCAAAATGTCATGCCAAGATTTCTCCACTCCTCAAGTGTAATTGCCAAAGTGGAAGCTTGGGCAAAACTAAGCTAATTTCACTAAATATTTAACAACAGATTTAAACTTCAGATTACCTCTCACACAACAAAGTCACGAATGCCTGTGATGTTTCTTTAGGAACAGTTTTAAGATGTATTCTATTGTCAGTCATCTTTTTTATATCTTGATCTCCCTTATTAACTCATGATTTCTTTTACACTCAACTCCCTCCTAAGATAAATACTTGTGATTCTAATAATCAATTTTAACTGTTAATACCATAGCTTTAAATAATAAACTTAGAACCACAGAATATATTTTATGTACTTCTCAGTGTTCTATAAAAGCAATCCTAGGAAATTCTACATTATTTCACTTGAACACATAAAGAAGAAACATAGTGCCCTAACTGGTTTGGCTCAGTGGATAGAGCGTCAGCCTGCGTACTCAAGGGTCCCAGGTCCGATTCTGGTCAAGGGCATGTACCTTGGTTGCGGGCACATCCCCAGTAGGGAGTGTGCAGGAGGCAGCTGATCGATGTTTCTCTCTCATCAATGTTTCTAACTCTCTATTCCTCTCCCTTCCTCTCTGTAAAAAAATCAATAAAATATATATTTTTAAAAAAAGAAGAAGAAACATAGTAACATGCTATCATTCTGGATCTCTAAATATATACATTGAGTCTACATTTTATCATTCTTAAAACGTACGAAATAATACCAACCAAATCACTTATACAACTTGGGAAAAAAGTTTTGATGACTTTTATGCTTTCATGTGTTAATATAAGTTGCAAAAACAAAACAATTTATTCCAATTTCTCTGTTGCATAAGCAATTCCTAATGGACAATGACCACATAGCAGACCCAAGTTCAAGAAAGAAATTTAGAAACTTATTTAGGAGAATAATTATCTTAAATCCTTTCCATACCGATTCGATCAAAAAGTTCTCCTCCACTGCAATACTCCAGAAATAGATATTGGATATTGCCTTCTCTCCTGTGACCATAGAATTTCACTACATTCTCATGATTTAACATTTTATTGATACAGATCTCTTTCTTAATATTGTCTGGACAGTCTACAGCACGCTTCATGTCTACTATCTTCACTGCAACTGCTTCTTCAGTTCTTCTATTCACAGCAAGCTGAACCCTAAAAAAGAAAGGTTGTAACATTCCAGACGCCTGAATTGTTTATTTTAAAACTTCAAAAAAGATTTAACACGACCCATCCAGAATTACTGCACTTTTCTAAATGTATCCACCAAGGAGAAACCATGGGGATGGTTTCTGCCATGTTCTCAAAAGATACTCCTCCTTTCTGAAATATGAGGTACAACAGACAATGCACCAAAGAAGTCATTATGCTATTGAACCAAAAGTCATTCAATAAATGCTTGAGAAAATGAACTCAACTGGGATAACCATTCTAGGCCACATTCCATATACACATGCTCTATTCATTTAATTCTAATAACATCACCTAACATTCATCAATCCCGCGGTAACTGTTCTCAGCACCGATGGGGTCGGTACCATGATTGCCATCTTACAGCTAAGAAAACAGAGGCAGCAACAGTATCAAGAAGCTCGCGGCGGCCCCGGCCGGGTGGCTCAGTTGGCGGGAGCATCGCTCCCTACACCGAAAGGGTGCAGGGTCAGCCCCTGGTTGGGGCACAGAGGTTTCCCTCTCACATGGATCTCTCTTCCTCTCTCTCACTCCCTTCCTCCTTCTCTAACACCAATATATACAGACGCTGTATATATATATACAGGCTTAAGAAGAAGCAGCTCGCCTAAGAACAAAACAATGATCGGTATGTGACAGGCTGATGATCTGACACCAGGCGGCCTGGCTCCAGAGTCCGCTCATTTGTTCATTTGAAACACGATGCCTAAAGCTCAAGAAGGAAGCGGTGGCAGGAGAAACGGACCTCGGCGCTGGACAAAGTCAATGTCAAAGAAAACAAAGTGCTTGCAAAAGATCGCACAACTTCCGTTCCCCAGAAGTCTGGGATTTCACAGGCGGAGGTCCGTTTCCTAAGGCCCCGCTGTGTTAAAATAACTCCAAAACGACGCACAGGGGCTCAAACGAGACAGAGGAGGGCAAAGCAAGCGGGAAAGCAGGGGGCGAGGACGCGGACTCACTCTCCGTAGGCACCTTCCCCCAGCGTCTGCACCAAGTCCCAGTCTTCCACGAAGGGCACGGCCATGGCTCCGCTGCGCACCGCGGCTGCAAGGGGCGGGACCCAGAAAAGACAGGGATGAGGACGCGCGCCCGTCATCGGGGAGGTCGCTGAACTCTGCGTCGGCCAGGAGTCCTCCATATAAATAACAGCTCTTCTTTCCCCTGACACCCCATCACCCATACCCTACTCCCGTCTAAACCACAGGCCAGTCTCCCAAATCCTGGCGTCCGATCCTGTAAATCCCCATCCCCACGCCCAGCGAATGCGCAGGGTCGGCCCCTCGTCCGCGGAGGAACTGTAGCAGTTGTGATGGGGTCGGGGGACACTGCCTCGCGGTGGATGTAGAGAAGGGGCTAGAGGGGTCTAGGGGAGGGGGAAAGATAATCACGATCACCGCGGCCCCTCCTCCCCACCCCACAGTGTCCCCCCGGCCGGGTGGAGCCCGGGGCGGGGCCAAACTGCCCCGAGGGGCGGAAGGCAGGGCCGGGAGGCACGCAGACTAGCAGCCGGGAGGTCTCTGCAGTCCCTCTGCCTCCGGCGCCCCGTGCCACCCTCCTCCGCCCTCTGGGGCCGCCCCTCCGCGGGAGTCTCTCCGAACCCCTCGCCGTGCTCTCCTAGCTCATGCGGACCCCGAAACTCCTCTGCAGACTCCCTGCCTACCCCACCCGCCGCCCTTCTCACCAGGCCGTCCTCTGCCCGCCACCGCAGGAATCCAAATGCAGCGCTTTTCCCGCCAAAACTGGAGAGCGTCACACTGTCGCAAACGCGCGCGCCCTTGCCGTAAAGCACGGAGGCGCGCTTTCCGGTTGGCGAAGTTTGGCAGCTGGGAAGCTCCTG